TGCTGCTCTCCTGGCACAGGGTAATATGTTTGCCAGTCCTGCTGGTATCTGGAGGCTCATTTATCTGAAATGGCTTAGAACAACTACAGGACTTAAATTTCCTTTATTCATCAATCTTCCTTAATCTTAGGGATTGAAAATGATAATTACCTTGATGCTGGCTTTTATCATACTGAGACTCATTCAATTATCAATTATCTTTCGTGTCTGTTGATCAGGACTTAAGAAGTTGCCTTTTCCTCAAATCTGTTGATCTAAAAGGCCCTAAAAGTCCTGAGTCTACCTTCTCTCTTTCACTATTTCTTGCTGCTGACTTGATGCATGTGAATTTCATCACCTTTTTCTGTATGCTTTTCATTTATCAGTTACTAAAATGATAGAAAATTACAATTTTATTAAAATATTTAGAGCTGTATTTAAATAGCGTTTGTTTTCATATTTTATCACTCAGTTTTCCTTTCTGCTTTCCATAATCCCCGACAAATAATGAAAGTTCTCCTCATAGGCATGGTCCTGCACAGCATCTTATAAACCAATCTTTCATCTCTGGTAATGTGGACTTCAGAGAAGCTCTACTGCACTAAATTTTTGGGCACTGATGCTATGTTCCTGTCAACAGATGTAGTTCCTTCAAGTTCTTTGCACTGCCAGCACTCAAATTTACTCTTTCTAGAAGTAAAGTTGTCCCAAACCTTCTTGTCCACTGTTCTGAGCTGTTTTGTGCTGTTCCTGGAGAGGGCTCAGTGGCTCCAAGGGACATGAGCTCCCTCTCCTTGGGTCTGTTTTCTCTGCCTGTGCATTCACTGACTGAATTCAAGGCAGAGAAGCAGATGGTGTTTATGATTTCACCTTTTCTGCTTAAAAGTTTCTCCCCATTCCTCCCCAGTTCCTCTGCACTGACTGTACAGCCCCAAGGCTGATCCACTATTTCTGGTAATCATTGTTTCTTGCAATCAGTCACATTTTTCAGTGTGACTACATATCTGTGTCCACATTCACAGTCAGGAAATGTGATCCACCACCCAGAAAATTTCCTGGAAGCTGAAAGAGAGGTGAGGAGTTGGAAAAGTGAACTTGGCTATTGAACCATAGAATCAGGGAGAGGTTTGGGCTGGAGAGACCTTAAAGACCGCCCAGTTCCACCCCCACTGGGCACCTTTCACTAGACCAGATTGCTCAAAGCTCCAACCATCCTGGCCTGGAACACCTCCAGGGATGGGGCAGCCACAACTTCTTTGGTGAAGAACAGATGGAAAAAATCCAAGATTGAAGAAATGAAATAAATGGCAGCATGCCTGAAAATTATAAATTTCAGCATCATTTATACTGAACACAGCCCCAAAGAAAGGCAGATATAAAAAATGAGAGTCAGTGATGACCTTTATCAGCTCTGGTGGCAACTATAAATCAGGCTGCAAATTCTCATCAGCTTGCTGGACAGAATTCATTACAGACAGGGGCCACTGCATTGCTTTCTGCCTTTGATTGAGGTATGTCCCATTTAAACCAATGCTCTTGCACTGGAACAAATCACACATATCCAAACAGTAGTCCAGGAATATGATTTATCTTTTGAGGACTAAGACCCAGCTAAACCTCACAGTGTTTTGTTTGGAATATAACACAGATCAATTTGTTCTTCTCTTAAGCAGACCAATTTTCTGTTCATTAACTCAGACAGCGTGTTGATGGCTGGAATTGAATATAATGGCAAGATTTAGAGCCCTAACAAATCAGCACTACTTCATTTATTCTTTTTTTAATGCATTCTAAGAGTACAAGTGGCAGATTAGCACCTGATTTTAAACCTGTTACGGTTTAACAAATAATGGCAAGGTCTGTTATCTCCTACTTCCAACAATGGAGCAACTTTTATGTCATCTTGAAGTTTCATAGTTTATTAAAATCTTATGGGGTTTTTTTGAGCATAAGGAGCAATAAAATTTGGTAGCAATGTCATTATGGGCAGTAATGTGACTTCCATCAGTTCCTACAATGTTCAAGAAACAGATTCACAGACTCATTAGATTAATAAGCTACTTTACCTATGTTCTGAACTTGGAGCTGAATTTCATAGCTCTTTTCTTTTCTCTAATTAGGATATATCCTGAGAGCCTTACAATTATCCAAATGTTTCGCTGGCCATGTTTAAAACATGATTTTTTTTGTCTTGAACTTAGTGTATAATTGGAAAACATTCTGTGTTGTTGACAGAGGGTGATTATTAAAGCAGTAATATTTTTCAACATATCTGATAATTAGGTAATAGTCTGTCTCTCAGTTTAATTCTTACCTGTTTTTTTTCTGCAATGACTGAAATATTTCTGGAAAATAAAAATTTAGGCTGCATACTTTCCCCTTATAACAAATACTGTTTCAGACATTGTGACCTGAGTATATAAAGACCAGGTATGTACGAAGCATTAAATCTTTTATTGCCTTACTTCCTAAATTGTTGGCATAAACACTTAAGGATATGGACACTTTTCTTAAGAAGCTGGAAGTTAGAGTTGTAAATAAGTTGCTGCTGGATCAGACCCCAGAGATTGTCTCTTCTGGCATATGGCCCAGGACAAGGGCAAGTACTTAGGGAAGATTCTGAAAAGCAGGCAAATTTCTCAAGTTGAGGATTCAGCTTATTCCTTTAGTCCCACACAATGGCTGGCTCATGGGCTTCCTGAAAAGCCTTCAAGCATTTATTATATGTCCCTTCAAGACATATAATCTTTTATGGATTTTTCTTCCATTTTTCTAATTCTAGTTTGGGTCCACCTGTAGCCCTGGCACCTGCTCTGTTCTGGGACTGTGACTTCCACAGTTTGTTTGCCTTCAGTATGGAGAAATAATCCCTTTTATTTGTGTTGAACCTGACACTGACTGATGTTATCTGATGCCTTCCATAATTATTTTGGAAAAGGCAGGGAATAAGCATCCCTTATTTATCTCCTCCACACTGTTTATGACTTTTTTGACTTCTGTCCTACCTCTGTTCAATCAGTTCTTTCTCAAGTTTAAGTTTCTTAGTTTGTTAAGAAAAGTATTTGTATGAAGGAATACTGTAAGGATAAATGTAAGTCAATCTAATTAAAATCCTTCTTTTTTTTTTTTTTTATTTAAGACAGAAGTTGCTAATAAAATTTATTCCATAATTTAAAAGAGAGTTATGCTTTGAGATCTTTGCCTATGAGTCTAAAGGGCTGTTGCTCTGATTTGGACTCTGAGAATCTTAAAATCTCTAAAACCTTGTGGTTTTGAGAGGGTCAACTGTATTGCAGCAACCATTTGCCCTTACAGAATCTGATTCATCCCAATCTCAGAGATTTCTTCTTCTTCCACTTATGTGTGAATCTGTGATATGGAGGAGAAGATTTTTTTTTATTAACAGCAATAAGCAGAGTGTAGAAGCTTTTCATCTGCACCTTCAGAGCCTTTTATAAAGTTGGTTAGTGACTGTGATGAGGATTATCATCACCAGGTTGGAAATAAAAGACTAGAACATGGATAAGGAGAATGCTAGGTCTGCACACCCTGGTTTTGAAAGAACCAAGTGTCCAAACCCAGTGTTGGCTTTAGCAACTGGGCAGTGCACACCTCTGCAGTTACAGTGAGTAACTGGGTTTGTGCTTGTACATATCCTAGAGGATTTAAACTCACCTTTGACTCATCCCAGAACACCCCATGGGTAATGTTAAACCACCCACATGTCCCTAGCCCTTGTTGCATCATGGTGACATTCCTGGGGCAGCCACCACAGTGATGGGTGGTGAGGAATTGTTTCTCTAGCTGAAACTGGAAGCTGTGGGTCTCAGATTCAGTCAGAGAAAGAAACAGAATTTCTAGCCAGGCAGAAACCTGGGAAAGAGTTGGAGAAGAATGTAAATAATTTTTTATCTCTCTTGTTATTCACATTGTTTATAGTTAAGTTCTATCCCTGTGCATCAAGAACTTTGCACCAATGCTTTGAGTTGTTTTCACTTCAGGACCAATGGAGTTGGTCCTCATGGAGCTCTGTATAACAGAGCAGTGTATTTTGAATAAATCAGTTTTACTCTCACAGCCTTCTGATCTGGGTCTCTTCATTCCCGTCCTGCCTCGACAGCAACAGGAAGCAGAGGTTTGGTAGGATCCATCAGTTCTCAGTTTAGGCAAGTTGCAAAAAACCATAACCTTAGTCCTGTGCCAAGAAAAACTGCTGATTCCTTTAATGGCAGAGTGCTTGGGACTTATGTTTTATGTTTTATCTGCAGGGCAGTGCATGTAAGCACTGATCAGGCTTGAACTTCAGTTTCTGACATGCCTTTATTGTTGTAATGTTTTTTATCCTGAACTTTTGACCTGCTACCTAACCCTCATTTGGAGTCCCTTTCATATGTCTGCCACAGCCTTTCTGTCAGGCAGGTTGTGTGCTTTGAGAGCTGGACACTGTTTCCTGTATTTTTGTTCTTGTCCACCTGTCTTGAGAGCTGGAGTGGTCCCAAAGTGCAGAGAGACAAGCTGATTTGCCTTGTTTCATGTGAAAATGGTGATTTCTTTGCATGTTTCTCCTGCTGGTATAAGTCTGCAGAACAAATGTAAGAGTTGGAGCACAATATTAGGTTCCAGAATCTGCTTTGTTAAGGGGTCATTTGCCTTTCTAAGACTTTCCAGGCTTATTAAACTCCTACAGAGACTGTGGAACTCAGAAACCTGAAATCATAAAAAATGGGGTATTTTGACCTTGTTTTCTACACTAAGCAAGCTTTGTATGTACATTCAAAACACGTCACTCCTGCATTCATCTAAGGGAAAGTGTGGCACAATAAATATGTGACAAACACCAACCACATTGCTTTATAGCTGTCCTCAGAGCCACTTTTAGCAGTGGCTAAAAATGTTAAAAAATAATTTGAGTTCTTCAGAAAGAAGTTCCCAGCAGTACTTTTGGTTTTAAGACTGTAATTAGATTCCACACAAACACAATTTCAGATTTCCTTAATGACCTTTTGTTTTCCTCCTTGCAGATAATGAATTCATTTATAGAAACCAGAATGGCACAGTGATTCTGAGGAATGTCGAAACCAACAGTTCAACAATATTAATAGAAAACAAAAAAATTGTAAGTATTTTCTATGACAAGTAGCTGAATTTCACAGCTCTCTTGCAGTTGGATCAGTAAAGCAGAAAATGACTTGGGTTTTGACTTCATGTGTTGTCAAGGAGAAGCAATTCACTGGTGGTACAATGGGCTATGCAGTGATGGATAATGTGAGACTGAACTCCAGCTTTTGTTATTATTCTGCAAGCTCAGTTTCTCCCATACTTCTGGAAAAGATCATATAGAGATTTGCAGCTAGTCTTGCATATCATATATAATTGAAAGATGCATAATTCTCATCTCTGCATGCTCAATAAAAAGGACAATTGATGTTCTTTACTGTCTGTTGTCATTCTCAAAATTTTTTCATGCAAATACTTATTTTTTTATTTGTGCATTCGCTGATTTTTCTTGCCTAATGTTTGAAATGTAATTTCAGTGTTTCTTATGAGTAGTGTTAAGGAATAGAAGTAAAGTTGGATTTGAGAGAAACCCTAAGAAATTGTTGTGGGAAGAAGTTAATAGGTGACTATTAAAACAAACGTAAAGAAAACAAAGTCACATCTGATACAGAGCATTGTTTTTACTGATAGAGGTGGTTTTTAGCATTGTTTTGTGTAGTAGATGAAACCAGCATTGTGGCAGAAGTTAGTACATTAATTGTATTAATTATTTTTTAACGAGACAAAGAATTTATCACCAAATTATTATGTCAGGGCCCAAACTTAAACTTTACATGCTGCATTTAACCTTCAAATTTTACTGCATTGCATAAGCAATCCTCTTTTAGCAGAGTCCAACTCCTTTCTTTACAGTTCTAAGGGAATGGGCTGGCTTCCTTTAATGTCAAGGTCTGTTGAAGTCAAATTACTTCCATTTGGCCTCATGGTTATTCCACTGGTTTTTAATTGTTGCCATTTGTAAGAAAAGCACAGTGCCACAAGAAAATCCTGCATTTTCATGCCATTTTCCACCCTACTGCCTGTTCTACCTTTGTTCCTCTGCTCTCTCAGTAAATACATCTGCAGGTCACCTCCACATTAATCCAGTGCAAGAACTGCCATTACATTTACTCAGACACATTGTCTTCTTCCTCTTCCTTCCCAGCCCTGGGGCAGAAAACTTTTGCTACTTGGTCATGTTTCTCCTTCCCCATGTTGTTAACAGAACAGTAAATAAAATCTGTCTTCTGTAAATAAATCTGCCTTCATGTTGCCACTGCTGGTGCCCAGGCTCCCCATCCCTCCCCATCCTGAGCTGCTCAGCTCAGCAGCCCAGGAGATGTCCCAGAGAGTGTTACAGTGAGCTCATGGGCACTCTATTTCCCCTTCCCTGGGACCCTGGGACTCTGATCAAGATATCCCCAGACCCCTCCTTCCTGCCCCAATGGGGTTGGCAGAGAGCCAGGGAAGCCCACCCTGTCCAAAGTCTATACAGACCCCTGACATTTCCTGTTCGTGCTCTTTTGCCCTGCTCTCCCCTTGGACACCACAGAATAAAGAGAGCTGAACCAAAGTATATCAGGGTAAGAGCCTCTTTTGGGAATCTTTGCCATCTCCTGATATTCCTCCCCTCACAGCCTCGGACCTCTGGGCTAGTCTGATATTCAGGGGGCTGTGTGAGGGGGGGAACGTCAAGAGAGGTGGTGGCTGCCTCTTCCCTGGAGATGCTCAGGATCAGGGTGGGTGGGACTCGGAGCAGCCTGGGCTGAGTGAAGCTGTCCCTGCTTGCTGGAGCTCACCCTGGGTCAGGGGCTCCATGTGGTGGAAAAGTCTCTCCTCCAACCCGTGCTTCCAAAGAAAACTCAGCAGTCTCTTGTTGTCCAGTCTCAAGGCAGTTTATTGCAAGTTATCTAAAAAAATTTTCTTCTCTGGCTGCTGTGGTTTGCTCACAGCTCAGGCAGAGGCACACACACACCCTGACATCCTCTCTGACTCCCGACTGCTTCTTCTCTCCCCGCCCAGGGCTGCTGCTCTCTTTTATATGGTACATTACATGTGACATGGTTACAGTTTTTCCCCAATGCCTATTACCTATATTAAATGGTGATTTTCTATCTTTTATATGGTACATTACGTGTGACATGGTTACAGTTTTTCCCCAATGCCTATTATCTATATTAAATGGTGCTTTTCTACTCTAAACCAATCTGTGAGTGCCAACATCACCAGAACATGGAGGTAAGGAAGAAGAAAGAGGGAGGACAGGACACGCCCAAATCCCTCCATCTTAAAACTTTTGACCCCCATGTACAAGACCTAAAACCCCCCTGTACAGCACTCAAAAATTCTTCCCTTTACTTTGTAACTACTTCTACTATAACATCTAAACTTTTGTGACTTCTTGTTCTTCCTGCAAGGCTGGTAAATCATTCCATGGCTCAAACTCAAAATCACAGCTGTTTCCAGCTGCCTGCCAGGGTCTCAAATGCTTCTGACCTGGGCCTGGAACCTCCAAAAATGTCTGAGGGACATTTTGAGTTCCGACACCTGCTCATTGCAGGGAGTTGGACTGGGCAGCTTTTAAAGGTCCCTCCCAGCCCAAATCATTCTGTGATGGTGCCACGTGTCCCCTCTGCTTCTGGCTGTCCCCTGGGCTCCCCCCACAGCTCATCCATGCCCTCTGGTCTTGTGGAGGACCTTCCCCAGTTCCCCTTTCAGTTTTGCTCTCTCAAGGACTTGCATCTAATTTGTTATGTGAGAGGGTGAGATTTGAAAGGCAGTGGATGAGTGATGTGTTAGTGGCACCTCTCTTTGACCTTGGTGCCATCTGTGCCAGCAATGCATTATATTGAAACATACTGGGGAGGAGAAATGGTTTCACTACACAAATGAAAAGTGGGGCTGGAAAAAGGTAATTTCCTGGCAAGTCTGAGATACCCAGGCATTTCTTCTTGTTAGTGAGATTTACAGTGCTGGTTTTTGCAGAACACAGGTCAGGGTGCACTGAACTGCTGCAGCATCCCAAAAACTTTTAACAGGGGAAAACAGAATAGTTTTCCTCTGGGTTATCTTAATTGGGGAAGGTGGTGTTGTCTTTATTACTAATTTGCTCCAGAAGCTATTTACATTTGTTTTTATCTCCTGCACTGGGCAGTGAATACAGATAATGAGAGGAAATTAATAAATTGCCATTAATCAGAGCTTTCTACTAACTACTGCCTACACCTGCCACCTCACCAGCCAGTAAGGAAAATTCTGGGTTTTTTGATATAGCTGCCTGCTCTGAGTCACAACACATTTATTCTTTCCCTTGTGAGTGCCCACAGAGCATTCCTGGGGTTTGAAAAAAAAAAAATACTATATTTTTCAAGACACTTAATTCTGGTGGTATTCTTCATCCTTAGAGAGATGATCATAACAATTATCTCTAGGTGTCATTAGCTTGAAAACTGAAGAGCATTTGTTTCAAAACTGTGTTTATTTTTCAGGTCTCCTTAAAGGCTATCCGGTATGAGGTGTCACCTGACAGGGAATATGCACTATTTGCCTTCGATGTTGAACCTGTAAGTAAACAGATTTGATTTCAAAATACACAGCCTGTGGCAAATTTTTCTTTTTTTTTTTTTTTGACTTTTATGCCAGCAAGATGATATTTTAAATTAATTGCTTCCTATGAAAGAAAGCAAAAAACCCCCTCACTTAGCAATTCTGAGAGCATGTCACACTGCCATCTAGTAGAGGAGAAAGGTATAAATTAGACTGTGAGGAAACACTGTCACTGCCAGGATTTTATAGCCTCCGGGAGGGGGATTGTAAGGACATGTCTTTGCTACAAGGATTTCTATTCCTCTTCTGTGATTTTTTTTTTCCACTGTGCCTTTTTCCATCACCCTATAAATTTCTTTCCTCAGAACAGAAAGCTACTGTCAGTGTCTCCCACAACTGAAATAATACATTAATTATGGTGTCACCATTCCCAGTGCTGCAGTTAGGCTTGAGCTATCACTTTCATTATAAATCCTTTTCTTTTGAGGGTTAGGTATAAATCATTTGTAAAAAATCACCATTAGGTTGATACTAAGTTCTGGATTACAGCAAATTTTTTTACCAGACTTCAAAAGGGAAAAATGTAATGAGTCATTTTTAAATGATGACCAAAGAATCAAACATGGGGGAAGTAATTCTTCTGCATGAATAATATTTTTGTCTTTCTCAATTCTGCTGGTATAAGGCCTGAAATGTTTGAGTGATAGCTATGCTGTACTACTTGGATGAACTATAAGCCCTATATATTTTTTTTCCATAGTTTAGAATATCACCAATACTTCAAAATTAAAATAATTAATTCACTGACAGCTGTAATTGCTTTTTTTTCCATAATGTAAATAGCATTTCAGCTGCTAACCAAAGGAAATTTGTGGGTCCTTTTGGTAGTGAAAGTTGTCGCTCTATTGCTCATCTGGTTTCTCTGCTGTCATCTTTGGAGTTATTCCAGACTTGGTGCTGTGAAAGTCAGAAGAAACATACCTGGTTTTAGAAAAAGGGAAAATAAAACTGTATCAGAAACTTTAGGAGTAATTCATAATGATTTTTCCTGGGAAATTACTGGTGGTGTGACTTCACTTACCTGAAGCTTAGCTTAGTTCTAGACAGAGATGGATGGGGAAGTGTAAAGTTAATTCTAAATATGGAAAAGACAGCCTAAGGGTCACTTAGGAAGCAAAGCCTTTCTCTAAAATTTCCCTGCCTTGTGAGCCAGAGATGCTTTGCAAAATTCAGTTCTTTTAGTGGAAATCAGCCTTTGTGGAAGCCCTGTGCCAACCCTGCTCAGATGTACTGTGTAGGCTGGAAAAGCCATGAGGAGGGAGGGATTCCTCAGTTCCTCTGAGAATGACAGAAAAATGCCTTTAATGACCAAACAAAACAAAAAAACTCATAAAAAACCCAACCAAAAAAAAAAAAAAAAAAAAAAAGAGAGAGAGAGAAAGTAAAATTTCTGAAAAACAGTAAGGAGATGCAGAGTTAGGGGGGGCTTTTACAGCCCAGATTTTGTGTTCAGTCTGTGGAAGGGCATGGGCAACATGGCAGGAAGGGCATGGGAATGGAAAGGGATGGGCTGGATGTGCTTCCTCTGCATCCTCCTCTCTGCACATCAGTGCTTGCAGACCTGTGAGTTTGAAGTACAGGCAAAACACAAAAAAGTTTGTGGTTCTTAAGAAGAGAGAGCAGCACACAGCCAGGTGCCCCCTGCATCCCACCACATCTTTTTAAAAGGAAAACCCAGGGTGGGAAGCTGAAAACATTCTTTGGGAATATCTCAGGATGTGGCATATACTCACTGTAAGTGAAGATTGCAAATTGCTCAGCTATTCATATATAGCAAGAGCTCCTGAAGCAAAATGAACCAAAACAAACACACTTTTATTCCTTTAAGATCCATGTTTATGGAGAAAATAAATTTTTTTGGGTTTGTTTTGTTTTGTTCTGTTCTGTTTTGAAGCACTCTAATAGAGGGGTAGTTGGGCTCAGTCTTGGTTGTTGCAGCCTTAAGCCGTGATGGGTGGTTCTCTATATTAAAATGGCAATAACTGTTGAATTACTTCTTCAGCTTTCTTCTCCCTTGGTATACAGACTGTGGCTACAAATAATTGCATGTTAGTTAGCTCTTCACATTTTCTGCATTTCAAACTGTATTCTTGGACAAAATTCAAATTACTCTATTTTCTGCAACACAAGGAATTGATTAGCAAAGCCTTGGGCAGTTGTCCTTGTTGCAAAGTCAAAAGGAGATTTCAGGAGATGTATTGGCAGAGGACATGCCTTTAAAGTTTAATTCTACAATTTCAGAAAAGGAGCTTCTTGGAATTATTGCATACTTATTTTTTAGCCATCAGAAATGGTTTCTTATTTTTTTTGGCATTTGAAAGTGTGACATGCTGCCTTTTAATTGTTTGTGAGTATAGATATTTTCATCATATTTTTACACAGTACAGTTGTGCTGCTTTAATATGCATAGGATGAATTAATAATTTGCCTGAATTCTGAAATGAATTGATTCAGCCTCTATGTTTAATACCAGTCAGGAATAAACATCAAAATAGAACAGCACAATGTGTCACTCCAATGAAGCGGAATATTTTAAAGAAAAGTGCCACAAAGTCATTTCCTTCCAGTAATAGCTGCTTCTATATTTTTCTATTTATTTGCACAGAGGCATGTCTGCTCAGTGTTGGTCTGGGTGACAGCACTGACACCCACACTGGAACAACACAGCACTGAACTGCCAGACACCTATTTTGCAGAGACACTGAGGCAGCTAATGTGTGTTTTCCTGTTGTATCACTTCATCATTTTAAAGGATAATGAATTAAAGCACGTTCCTTAAAATACATTTCTCCTAGGAAGCTTGGCAGACAGCTGTGAGGCTGGTGTGGGTACATTGTGGCTGGTCTGGCTGTCAGATTTCATTGTAAATCCTTTTTTTTTTTTTTTTTTTTTTTTTGCAGTGCTTATATTTACAGAAGTTTAATCTTTCAGGCAGCAATATTCTGGGTAAGCCTTGTGCTAATAGGGAGCTTTTCTAACCTTGAACACAGAAGATTTGTTCTTTTTCTGGAAAGGTCACAGGAAAGGTACCAAGCCTCTTTGTCTTGAAATACTCCCACAGTTTTTCTGCTGTTTATTTTTAGTTTCTTTACACCACAACAAGGTGCAACCTGAGGCTGAAACAGCAGAGTGAAATTTTGGGAAAACATCGGGGAATAAACACCTCCATGGGGAAACTTTGATTTGAAATCATCCTTCACCAAAACAAGTGTGTGGGGCTCTGATATGGGGTTTGATAACCCCAAAACACGTGGGCAAAGGGGTTTGGCCACAGCAGCTCAGCAGAAGGGGGGCAGAGGCTCACGTTTGTCTCTGTGGTGCCAGACCAAGGATGCTCATGCCCAGCACGAGGCTCCAGCAGCACTGATGGGCAAACTCAGTGCTCCCCGTGGGCCTCCTGGGACACACACAGGTCTTTGGGCTGGCACCACCTCTGTGGGTACCCCTGGTCTCCAAAAGGGGTTTAGTGAATAGCCAAGTGACTAAGCAACCCTTAAATCTCATTACATTTCTGTGACTGAGGTAAGAGTAAAATATGAGTGACTAAAGCTTGTGCAGCTTTGTGTGGCAGTCAGTTACCAGTGGAGTTTGTGTAATGGAATAAAAGAAACAGAGGAAATATCTCAGAAGAAAACTTTATTTTCTGGAGTGATGTAGTGAGATGTTAAATAGTGAATATTTAATTGCCTTTATTAGGAATCAGTGTTGTCAACATGCAAGAGAGGAATTAAAGCTGCCAAGATTCCTCTCAAAACTTCTTGCTATTTGTCTCCAATTTTACCAGCCCATTACTCTGTTTGTGCCAGTTAAGGGCAATTTCACTTAGAAATGCTGGCTGGTTAGCATGGACCAAACTGCAAAGGCTTCTGAACAAAGTTAGGGCTCAGAGACTTTTGCAGCTGATACAACAGATCCTGTTACCTATTTTGCAGTAAAATAAATGCTCTTTTTTAATCCAAATGGCTGGAACAAATAAATCATTGTTGTAATTAGAACACACTCAAAAATTATCTTTTAGCCTAGTTCATGTGGTGAGTTCAATATTTCTGTTCTTCTTGCCTGTATCTCTGAGATGAGTGGTGGGACAAAAGAGAGCTCAGAAAGACCCAGAACAAAACTTAAGAGTTGGCATCTAGAGCGTGAAAGAAGTAAAAAAGCATTATTTTAGAAAGCAACAATATTACTATTGTTGCTGTTACTATTTTACAATAGTAACAACAATGTTACTATTGTTGTTACTATTTTTTATTATTTCTTCAAGTCTGGTTTTATGTGAAATGAATGGGTTTTGTGCTTATAGTCCAATTACAACCTCATCCTAATTTAATTAGTTGTCTAAAAATTAAAATAACATAATGCTTATTATTTCCAAAACACTAATGGGTATAAATATTAATGTATCCTCATAACATCCTTTTGAGTTAGGTGATAAACATTATTATGATAAATATACCTCTGAAAATTGAACACTGTCATAACTATCATCAGTAATACAGCTCAGACTGTAGTCATGATATTTATTGCTTAATTGAAATGGATTTACCAGGCCTAGAAATAGGCTTACATAAATCTGTTTTCTTTATATGGCAATAAATATATTTCACTTTTTTTTTTTTTATTCTCACCCAATGTTTTTTTTCAGGAACACTGAAAATGTTTAGTGATTTCATGATAAAGTGAGCACAGATAGAATATTTCTGTCATAAAATAATGCTGTTTTATTGATTTTTATTTAATTTTTGGTGTTTGCTGTAAATTATTAGTTTTTGAGGGGGACATTTTGAGGTAAAAACCTTTAAGTTTATGGTTTTCATATCCTCTTTTTAATGTGAGTACAGTTTTGAATCATTGTTCATAAATCCGAATTGCTCCTCTATTGGAAAGCTGCACAATCTAAGGATATTGTTCACTTATATCAAAGGCTGCTGGATAAAATTATTTTTCCCAACATTTTCAA